TCAATGGTCTAAAATTGCCAAATTTCATTTTTATTCATAATCTTCATAACCTGTAAAGATCTAAAACACAATCAGTTATACGGCTATGCCATCTTCCATAACTACAAACAAACAGCAACTGCCTCAACTGACAACTGGCCTTCGCAGTAAGAAGCACATGGAAGGGCGACTCATGTATTTACAAATATATATATGTAAAATGCAGCGCTATTAATATATCATAAGTGGTTGTGGTGGTATTAATAAATGAATAATAATAAAACACAGTCCAGTAAAAGGTGCTCGTTGAATCCCGGTGCAGATGGTAGAAATGCGCACTAACCAGAAGCGTATAGGTAATACGCATGTGAGTAAATATCCTGAAGATTCCCCCTCTCCTTTCTGGTCTGATCACGGGAAAAACTGGAAAGAATGAAGATCAAGCGCCCTCGTGTGGTGAAGATGTGGTCCAGCAGGTCAGAGAAATCTTTGCCAAGATGTAGTTCCCCCTCTCAGGGGCTGACACAGGAATCACTCAGGGCTGTAAAGGTTGAAGAAGCTCCTCACAGGAGACACAGGGAAATACTCATAGTGTAGTAGGTAACTGACTTTATTAGAAAAGCAAAGGTGTATAGTAAAATCACAATGGTGCCAAGTATGGGTGAACACACTGACCCTTTAAATACAAAGATGGCGCCGGGCCTCCACGTGGCACCGGCGGCGTGGTGTCAACGGCGTCCTGGGCTCCACCTGATGCGTTTCGTGCGCACGCACTTCTTCAGAGGTAGAGCAGAAGTGCGCGTGCACAAAACGCGTCAGATGGAGCCCAGGATGCCGTTGACACCACGCCGCCGGTGCCATGTGGAGGCCCGGTGGCCATCTTTGTATTTAAAGGGTCAGTGTGTTCACCCATACTTGGCACCATTGTGATTTTACTATACACCTTTGCTTTTCTAATAAAATCAGTTACCTACTACACTATGAGTATTTCCCTGTGTCTCCTGCGAGGAGCTTCTTCAACCTTTACAGCCCTGAGTGATTCCTGTGTCAGCCCCTGAGAGGGGGAACTACATCTTGGCAAAGATTTCTCTGACCTGCTGGACCACATCTTCACCACACGAGGGCGCTTGATCTTCATTCTTTCCAGTTTTTCCCGTGATCAGACCAGAAAGGAGAGGGGAATCTTCAGGATATTTACTCACATGCGTATTACCTATACGCTTCTGGTTAGTGCGCATTTCTACCATCTGCACCGGGATTCAACGAGCACCTTTTACTGGACTGTGTTTTATTATTATTCATTTATTAATACCACCACAACCACTTATGATATATTAATAGCGCTGCATTTTACATATATATATTTATTAGGACTTTTATGCGTTTTCCCTGAATGTTCAGCTGCTAATTATTGAGAGCGCTCACTGCAGTTTTATATTTTCCTTCATGTATTTACAAATGTGTGCAAACTAGACCCGTTGTTAATGTGAACTGTTGGTCAGGACAATTCGGTTTGTTGCAGTCTGGCTGATAAGTTGTGCTGGGAAATTTTCTTTGTTGCTGTGTGACATGCATCGCCCTTCCATGTGTTCTTTGCTGCGAATGCCAGTTGTAGGTTGGGACAGTTGCCGTTTGTTTGTACCTTTGGTAAATTGATGAGGAGGTGCACTGGACACCTTTGCTGCCATTGTGCTATATGCTAGGTGTTCAGTGTGCCACTGTGCCTTTAAGGAGAGGTGGGCTCCCTCCAGGCATACCTGCCCCCAATCTATTCATTATTATATATGTGCTCCTACAATGGAGGCTTTCAAAATTTATAGTTAGAACTACAGATAATACTGGGATGCCATGAAGTGGCTCTGAAGCTTACGCATGTGTTTGCATATGTGTGCAAACTAGACCCTTGTTTTAACATGAACTATTGGACAGGACGATTCGGTTTGTTGCTGGCTGGCTGGTAATCTGAGCTGGGAATTTTCCTTTGTTGTTGTTTGCTATCTACCATAACTATTGAATGCTATTTTTATTAAACAGACAACTTGCTAATATGGCTGCCTTAGCTTAATACATCCCCAACTCAACCTATCGAGGGGGCACAGCCAATAAATCCATAACTGTTTGCAAGTACGGTAGAAATAATGATGTTTTCTTTGTACACTGGAGATTTCCTATAACCTACCATGGTTTCAGCACGTATTACAAAACAGAGAGAGCAGCTCTTACCCATCCTCCAATGAGTGAAGTTATGTTTTACTATTTACAACTGCTTTTCTTTAAAATACTGACAGCAAAAAATTGGCCGCAGTTTTTAAAATGATTTACCCTCTCTCACAGAAAAGCCTTCTGGCAAGTTGAAGCAGTGTTGTAAGATGAAAAAAAAGATGAATATTTGCCGAGAACTTGTAAGGTATATGAAAGTTTTGAAATTTTCCAAGTTTTACTCTACTTTAAAATATATGTCCTTGATAAGGTTCAATCAGGAAAGATGAGAAGCATGGGAACATTAAGAAGGAATTACTAGCTAGCAGTTCGTCTGGAATCTTCTGACTAGATGGAAAGAGAATGAGGTGAGGACTCACGTACCAAACTCATTTCCAACAAAATCAAAGAGGAGAAATACAAAGACAAGATGGTTGCCGTGTCGCTATTAATGAACGGTGGGAGCAAGACTAATGACGTAAAGATACATAGCCTCCGGCGGTCTATTAACAGTCTTTTAAAAAAGGAGATGGGAAGTTATTTGCTTCTAGGTGGCTAATTAAGAAAAGCTTCAACTCAAAATCTCAATCATGCTTTATCTTCTGTTACGTTCCTCACTGGTGGTCGGCCCAGTCTAGTGTGCTATATAGGTTTGATTCCAAAATGGGTAAAAAGGCCAAGTATGGATTACAGGGAAAGCGCCATCTCTGAACAGGCAGATGTTCATGAAAAATATAATACCTAGCCAACATTTGAAGGTGGATCAAAGCTAAAATGTGAAATACCTTTGCAGCTAAGTTAGAGATGTCCTTTACTCTCTCTACTAACAAAAAAGGTTTCTTACCTCCTTCAGCTCTAATATAAACTCAAAAGAGTCTATTTATAAAACATTTGTTGGAAGAATGTCAAACACATGCTTGCACGCTGTATACATTTTGGCTTTAATTTCTCTAATAGATTAATCCCTAAAATGGTTAGTTTCATGTGGTAGCCAAAATGTGATCAATTTTTCTGATTGATATATTTTAGAAATTTATACCACATTATGGCCACTAAATTGTGCTGACGATCACAGGAGATAATCAAGTAAAGAAATCATTGCCAAAATGCTTACAGTAATGTGTTTGACATTCGTCCAACAAATATTTCATTAATAGACCCCAAGGAGTTACTTCTAATGCAACACCCATAGTACTGTTGTTTTCAGAGCTTTGAGGACTAATGTCTGACGATACAAAATGTAATGGCTCCCACACAGAATCATTGCATTTTAGGCCGGGTTTACATCTGTACGGGGGATTGCCGCTGTTCCCGCAGCCGCAGCTAATCGAACAGTAAAATGCAGGAACTAATGCTAATGGCACACCACATGCACTGAAAACTGCTCCTGCACAGGGAACCGTAGTGCACTTACAGTTCCCATGTTGGCTGCAATTTCCAAAATGCAGGGACCTAGCCTTAGATAATACTTAATTTTATCAATAGGCAATACTGCAGTCAAACTAGAAAAATTAGAGGTTGCCTGCTGCCGTTGGGGGATCCAGCGTGCATGCCCACCTGGCGAGCCATCAAATTCCAACTTCCATATGTACAAAAAATAAAAATATGTTCGCACAGCAATTCCTGAATCTAGGAGATTTTGACTTTAAACAGCAAGATGAACCTTGCTACTTCAAAATGAAACTCATCATTGTCATGAAATGCTGTGTAGACCCATTTCCATTTTCTAAACTCAGGTGATTTAAATGTGATGTGACCAAATTAACTGTCCTTCAACATAGATATAATGATGACAAACCCATCTACAACCTAATCTATCCGCATTTGACCACAGGAGGATGTATGTAGGTATGTATAAAAAGAAAATAACAAACATGATATACTTACCTGCTCTTCTTTTTTGGTCCCCTGCCGGCAGTCCTGGCTCCTCCTCTTGCCGAGTTCCCCCAATAGCAAGCCTCTTACTAGGAAAGCACTCGAGCAGGCTCGCTCGCTCCCCAGCCATGTTCTGTGTGTCCATTGACTTGGCCCCGCCCCTGCTGTTTCCTTATTGGCTCACTGGCTGTGATTGACAGCAGGAGGAGCCAAAGACTCCAGCTGCTGTGTGAGCCAATGAGGAGCAAGAGATCCCAGAGAGCCATGGCTGTCATGCACATCCCTGAATTGGGATAGGACTCAGGTAAGTAGAAGTGGGGAAGGGCTGAAGAGGGAGCTGCACCCAGAAGGTTTTTTATCTTAATGCATAGAATGCATTAAGGTAAAAGACCTTGAGCCTTTAGAGCCACTTTAACCTCCCTAGTAGTCTGATTATGTCCATATTTCTGTGCTCAAAGCGGTACATTTTTTTTGCATGGAAATATGTATTTTTTTTTATTGAAGGCCTGTAATTTTTAGGAATAACTCACTGAAATCTGTCCGAACAAGAGTCTAGTAAACATCCCGGGTATGATAAAACTTGAAACAGGAAATCATAAATGATAATTTAATAAATAATCATAAAAAATAATAATATAATAATAATACATTTAATTAAATAATATAATCAAACCAAAAACACTGAAATTTGAAATATAGCGCCAAGTTCGCACATTGCTGAGCAAAGTCACAAAATCGTTTTCAGTGTCTGATGACGAATTTCCCCACGAATCATTATCACTCAATTCTGCAAGTGGTTCTGATTTACTATCGCTGTTCTCTAGCTGGTCTAAAACCGATTTTGACCTAAAGGGACGCTTTTTGGATGCCATGGACGTTTCTCAGTTTCCAGGTAGAAAGAACAGTAAATATGCAGGCAGGGCACAGGACAAAGCACTCGGGACAAAATGTATGTGAAATGGTTTGATACAGTAATGTTTTACTATGTCATATTCGTTTATTAGAAAATGACAGTTTCTAAAATTTTTAAATTTGCCGCCAGTTCCGGCCCCCATACGCCCCGTACGTCCCGGCGCTCGCATGGGCCGGACATGGAAGGCAGATGCCGGCATCGGCCGGAGGAGATGGCTGGGGATGCGGCAGGGGACGCATCGCGTGAGCGAAGGACAAGGTAAGCGCTGCAGGGAATCCCTGAGCAAGGCCGCATGGTAAGCATAGCTCGGGGATACCGCTTTTGGTACTGAGATTTTACCCTGAGCTACACTCGGGAATACCGCCAGGGAGGTTAAAGCCCCATATCACAAAATTATTCCATAATGAAGGCTGCCATGCGATGACATGACTTCTTCTCAATCCACAAACATTCAGTTCAGTGTTCTGTTTTAGAAAAGTCTGTCTGAAGATTTAAAAAATCCACAATATACTTCCTATACTGAAATGCAGTTCTTAAATGTGTCCACAAATGTCTGACACAGATCAGCCCATGTTGCACCTTATGACTTGCTACAAAGTAACAATGCTCCAGCCTGATCACTGGGGAAGAAGGGACTGAGGAAATGCTTCTTCCTGCCTGCAACAAACTGATGGCATCATCTCAGCCTAGGTAATGTCACTGTTCTGGGTCTCAAGAATGAATTTTAATGAAAAAAGATGGAGCTTTATGGAAAAAAATTAAGTATTACACTGTTGTGTCATATCTCATGACTTTAGTCTGTAACTCAATGAGGTTGTCCTTACCTATCTGTAAAAGCAAAGCAGTCCATAAAATTGCCCCACTGCAGTTGATGTCTATAAAAACCAAGGATGGCAGACTACATATTCCATGCCCAGTACAGCGCATACAGGGCATTTCAATAAAGAGTGTAGATGTTGCCTAATGACAAATAACCATTTCAAGCCAGGAGCTCACAGTAGACTTTATACTTTATATATCAAAAAGATGAGAGAAGGAGAGATGACCCTTAGCCTTGCCACAAATGAAGGGAACATTTCAATTCTATTTAGTGGAGAATAGATATAAATATGTCAGGATTGCTAAGGTCTGGCTGTGACAAATATCCCATTTCCAGGCATTTGCGCTGTCTGGACAGGCGTGTACCCGACAACTCCTCTAATCACTTCTTTCTCTATAAAGAACACACTTGGATTCAATTAATGCTTCTAATTCCTGGGATTCCGCCAAGAGAAGGTTGAGACTGTCTCGCACCCAGCTCTGCGCCAAGCTTCCTCCACTCCAGCCTAATGATCTTCATGCTTCTCTCTAGCTATTTATTTCATGGTATTTATTTGACGTTTAGAAGAGATTCTAAGGCTTTTTTTTCCATTTTGGATTTAACTCCTATCATCTAGCTCTAATTCAATTCAATTTGCAAAAAAAATATCATGCATGAGAGCCTGGAGCAAGGGTCCCTAAACTCTGGCCAGCTACAAGATTTTATCCAGCCTGCAGTAAGGGTCATTGGCATATCCTCAATGTTAACAGATTGAGGACAAAGGTCAGCAGAGGCTACCTATGGTTTCCACCTCAACCCCCATCCACAACCTGTCCCCAGGCTCTGTAAAGGGGAATTCTGATGGGGACCCTGATTAAGGGGGACTATTATGGGGACTCTGATGTAAGGGGAACTCTAATGGGGCCCTGATGAAAGGGGGATTCTGATGGGTACGCTGATATAAAGGGAACTCTGATGGGGACCCTGATGTCAGGGGAACTCAAAGTGGGACCCTGAACTAAGGGGGCGTTCTGATGGGTACGCTGATGTAAAGGGGATTTTGATGGGGACCCTGATGTAAGGGAGACTATAAAGGGGACTCTGATGAGGATCCTGATGTAAGGGGGACCCCAATGGAGACCATAATGAAAGGGGGATTCTGATGGGTACTCTGATATAAAGGGAACTCTGATGGAGACCCTGATGTAAGGGGAACTCAAAGTGGGACCCTGAACTAAGGGGGCGTTCTGATGGGTATGCTGATGTAAAGGGGATTTTGATGGGGACCCTGATGTAATAGGGAATATAATGCAGATCCTGAAGTAAGAGGGAACTCTGATGGGGACCCTGATGTAAGGGGGACTATAAAAGGGACTCTGATGAGGATCCTGATGTAAGGGGGGACTCTAAAGGAACCCTGACGTAAGGGGGACCCCAATGGGGACCATAATGAAAGGGGGATTCTGATGGGTTCTATGATTTAAAGGGGACTCTGATGGGGACCTTGATGTATTAAAAAATCTAATGCTGACCTTTGAAGTAAGGGTGACCTCTGATAGGGACCCAGATGTAAGGGGGACTATAACGGGAACTCTGCTATAAGGGGAGACTCTGATGGGGACCCTGATGTAAAGGAGGACTCTAATGGGACCCTGACATAATGGGGACCCTTATGAAAGGAGGATTCTGATGAGTTCTGTACTGTAATGTAAAAGGGACTCTGATGGGGACTCTGATGTAAAAGGGAATCTAATGCAGACCCTGAAGTAAGGGAGTACTCTGATGAGGATCCTGATGTAAGTGGGACCCTAATGGGGACCCTAATGAAGGGGGGATTCTGATGGGTTCTCTGATGTAAAGGGGACTCTGATAGGGACCTTGATGTGTTAAGAAATCTAATGCTGACATTTGAAGTAAGGGTGAACTCTGATGTGGACACCAATGTAAGGGGGACTATAAAGGGAACTCTGCTGTAAGGGGAGACTCTGATGGGGACCCTTCTGTAAAGGGGGACTCTAATGGGACCCTGACATAATGGGGACCCTTATTAAGGAGGATTCTGATGCGTTCTCTAATGTATAAGGGACTCTGATGGGAACCCTGATGTAAAAGGGAATCTAATGCAGACACTGAAGTAAGCGGGAACTCTGATGGGGACTCTGATGTAAGGGGGACTATAATGGGGACTCTGAAGTAAGGGGAGACTCTGCTGGGGACCCTGATGTAAGGGGAGACTCTGCTGGGGACCCTGATGTAAGGGGGGACTCTGATGAGGATCCTGATGTAAGGGGGGGCTCTAAAGGGACCCTGACATAAGAGGGACCCCAATGGGAACCCTGATGAAAGGGGGATTCTGATGAGTTATCTAATGTAAAAGGGACTCTGATGGGGACCTTGATGTAAAAGGGAATCTAATGCAGACCCTGAAGTAACAGGGAACTCTGATGGGGACCCTGACATAAGGGGGACTATAACAGGGACTCTGATGTAAGGGGTACTCTGATGAGGACCTTGATGTAAAAATAAATCTAATGCTGACCTTTGAAGTAAGGGGGGATTCTGACTGGGACCCTGATGTAAGGGGGTTTATAAAAGGTACTCTGTTGTAAGGGGAGACTCTGATGGGGACCCTGATGAAAAGGGGGACCCTAATGGGACCCTGACATAATGGGGACCCCAATGGGGACCCTGATGAAAGGGTAATTATGATGAGCTCTCTAATGTATAAGAGACTCTGAGGGGGACCTTGATGTAAGGGGGACTATAATGGGGACTCTGATGTAAGGGGAGACTCTGTTGGGGACCCTGATGTAAGGGGGGACTCAAATGGGCACTCTGATATATGGGGATTTTTCGACCTCCCAAATACAATATACAATATGGCTCTCATTCTGAAACATTGGGATACCCCTGGCCTAGAGCATCAGACTTTTCTTGTGCATGAAGTGGCTTGACTGAGATACACCAAGACAAATCTGCCACCAATGATGTTAGCAGCAGTGCCACAGAGAAGTGTCCTATTCCGCGGGCTCAGTGTAGTCCCCCTTTAAGCTTTCTGAGTCCCTCCCTGTTCAAGTGTATGAACCTTCCGTGGTATATGTTTCACATCACAGGAAACACTGCTATAAAATATCCTCCTGTTTAGAATCATCTGCTTTTTTATATCAAGGTGGAATTCCTGGCAGAGCAACTAAATCAGGACTTAGCGAGAGAATTGGGCCTTTTACCAAATACCTAGTTGTCACCCAATGATTAATAACAAATATGGAGAAGGGTCTTATTTATGGATGCCCTTGGCTGTCTTGGTTCATCACTGTCTGCACTGTATACACCATCAAACTTTACATTTAAACAATGCAGCAATGCAAAGCCAGAATAAAACATTTATCTCTGTATATGAGAAATACGATTGGTCTGATGCTATTTAATCATTATTATTATTGTTATATTTATATGTGGAGCCAAGATATTCTTCAGGGCTGGGCAATAAGCGGGTAAACATGTAGCTCTTAAAATATACAACACACAGCTGTATGTAGAAAGGCAATAAACAGTTCTTAACCTGAAACATATGGAAGTTCATAAGAGTTCACAGATTTTAAGTGTTGTGTATAATGGTGGACATCCATGGGGTAACAATGATGGGGAAATGATTGAATAAGATTCTTTGTCTTTGAATTAAAAGAATGAGTGTAAAGTATAAAGTGTGATCGTTATAAGAAAAGTGTACAACTTTAAAGTGACTGTAAAGGATCTTTTTTTTCTATTTTAAAATAACAAACATATTATACTTACCTGCTCTGTGCATTGGTTTTGCACAGGACAACCCAAATCCTTCTCTTCTGGGGTCCTCTGCTGGCGTTCCTGAATCCCCCTCCCTGCTGAACGCCCCCCATAGCAAGCCGCTTGCTATGGGGGCACTTGTTGTGCCTGCTTGAGCCGAACTATGTGTATCTATTGACACACACAGTGCAGCTTGACCATGTTACCTCATCACTGGATATGACTGACAGCAGCAGGAGCCAATGGCTCCCGCTGCTCTCATTGAGCCCAGTGAAGAAGGAAGGGAGAGCAGTGCTGATGCTCTCGAGCACAGCGCTAAATCAAGATTGGGATCAGGTAAGTATTAAGGTGGGGGTGGGGGTGGGGGGCAGTGGCACATAAAAGGTTTTTTTATCATAGCCTCCCTGGAGGTATTCCCGAGTGTAGCTCAGGGTAAAGATTCAGTACCACAAGCGGTAACCCCGAGCTACACTCGGGCTTACCATGCGGCGCTGCTCTGGGATCTGTTCTTCTCTTACCTTGTCCTACGCTCCCACGATGTCCCTCCTGCAGTGTCCCCTGTAATGTTCTCCAGCCGATGCCAGCATCTGTCATCTGGGCAGCACAGTGGCTAAATGGTTAGCACTTCCGCCTGGCAGTACTAGGGTCGTTGGTTTGAATCCCAACCACGGCACCACCTGCCTGGAGTTTGCATGTTCTCCCTGTGCCTGCGTGGGTTTCCTCCGGGTACTCCGGTTTTCTCCCACACTCCAAAGACATGCTGGTAGGTTAATTGGATCCTGTCTAAATTGCC